TATTATTATTATTATTATTATTATTATTATTATTATTATTATTATTAAATAAATAATTTTTTATTTTAATTTAATTTTGCACCACGACGTCTCATAGAAATGAAGTATTTTAATCGTGTAGTAAGCAGGTAGTTTCGGATAGAATGACTTATCGTAAGACGTTATCACGTTTCATGATCGGTGCGGGTCAAAAAGCTTCTAATAGAACGGTTAATTCAAGCGGTTTCATCCGTCCTCACTGATTGGACGATCGTAAAAAATTAATCGAATCCGTGGGTGTGCGGTGCAATATCAAGGGAGCGGTTACGTGGTGCAATTCCCGTTCTCGGCCGATCCAACGACCTTATGGAAAATCGAGTAGACATGCGTACGCCTGTGTGCGTCCGTGTTTCCGTGAATTCGGTGTTCCGGCCTGGCGGTTTTACGGTGTTTTAATCGTTTCTCGCATATATCGAACAATTAAATCGAATGCGCAGCGAAGCGACCGCGAAATGAGAATTCTGATTCGCATTGCGATTATTGTGGTTCTGGCGTCTCGTTATTACATACCTTTGATAGAGCAAACACAACTCTCGATTGTGCCGACAGCATTAATTTAACATTAATCGACGCCAATCAGTTCGGAAAACTTCAATAAGATATATATTTTTAATTCGATTTATATCTGCCTCATACTTTTCATTATCTAAATTCCTAATACCCTATTTTAAATTAGAATATGGCTCTAATCGAGATATAAATAGTATATTGCAATATACGTAAATAATTCATGCTACAATGATGAATGCAACCGAGATCCCAAAATTATTGCAAGCAAAATTAAGAAATATGATATCCATAGAGAAATTCTGACAGAGAAAAGTGACGTCCTATGTCACGAACGTCGACAGATGACCAACTTTCGAAGATTCCATCGCGGCAGTCGTTTACCCGGCGGCAAGAGGAAGATGGGAGAGTCGGTATGACGAGGGAGGATGGGATAGATAAGGAGGACTCCTTTTTTTAAGACGTCAGAGAGTTGGCGGTTTTTTCGCCAACGGGGTTCGATCAGGGATGCTGCGACTGCTATCAGCTATCGGTGTTATTAAAGCCTCGACTCGATTTTCATGCATCTCATCGCGAAGTTGCCGGTCCAAATGGCGTCGGGGATGATAGGATGGGGCTCGTAAGTTAGACGAACGGGATGGGAGGAGGTGTGGGGTGTCGCGCGCGGTCGGCTAAATCGGGGCCAGGTCGTGACGGGCGAAGTAGTTAAGATATCGAACGGGGTCGAAGATGAGGGTGGGCCCGCCGCCGCGATTAAGTTCATGCACCCTCTCTCGCCCTCCGGGTGCGCGCTTTCGATTTTCTATACGGTCCACGGAAAGCCGTCAGGACAAAATTACGTCACGTAACGGCACGCCAAGGAAATTTTGTAATTGATCCTGAATTTGATACGATCTTTAAAATACCTAAAAACTCGGAAGTTTGAAGAAATATAATGTATTAGGTACGGGTAGAAAATAGTAGATGAATATATATGTATGTGTGCGTGTATAATAATACGCGTGTATATAAACACATGATTCCACATTAAAATTATTATTAACATTATTACTAACAGATTATCATTAAAAAGTCACACTATTATTGCTCAAAAAGGAATATTATTTAGCATTTGTGAGGCAACGACGGAAAAGCAACGCGGCTGCTCTTAGTCCGTATACTTAAAGTGTCCCTGGAGTCTATGAAAGCTCTGAATGGTATCGTTAGTATCCTTCGGGACCCACATATCGAGAGAGAGAGAGAGAGAGAAAGAGAAAAAGAGAGAGAGAGAGAGAGAGAGAGATTTTCCTGCATGTCCCTACACGCTCCTGTACGTAGACGTAGACGCCCTTACGCCGGTCTCTTTTCTCTTCCACCATCTCCTTTCTGCTGCTCCTTTTAACTCATACATATCCCGGTATCCAAGACGGGAATTTATGATACGTCGCGCATTTATATTCCCGCGCCTCTCATAAATTCTGCTTTACGCGCATGTAAGTGGCTCTACTTTTGTTCATAGATTCCTACGGCTGTCAGATTTATGTTTCCGTACGCGACATTCGATTCGACATCAAATTTAAGATTGCGGGCAGAGGGAGAGAGAGAGGGGGAGAGAAAGAGAGACTATGTGCGTATGTTGAGGAAAAGATGGCAGAGTTGCATCAAACCTCAAAGCTGCAATGTGAAGAACAAATAAGTATTTCTTATTTGTTGACAAACTCAAGAAACTCGAATGTCGAAACTCGGTATATGTCGAAAAGAACATTTAATAATGTATTTTAATATAATAATCCCTCGAGACTCTTTTCGCACGCGCTAGACTTTCTGATTTTGTCAGTCGGTCGTGCATTTCGAGGATCGTTCCTTCCGTGTCATTTGGACGGATAGGATTTTTCGTACGAGCATTTCCGCGGGCGATTCCGACTCCTTTTCTCGTCGCCTAAAGGCTCGTCTGGACATCGGGCAAGCGCCGATCTATACCCCGACGTGTACGTACGTACGTGCAGCCGGGACGATATAGCTCCGAGAGAGAAATCCGGCTTCGTAGATGGGGAAACGACGGGACCCGATATTACATACTTCGCGATACAAGAGCTACGAAAAACGCCCCCGGGCCTTACTGCCGTCGCCGTCGCCGTCGCCGCTCTATAGGTTGGGATTATAATAATTCGCGTCACTGCGTCCAATCTCAATCTGCCTGTCCGGACGAGAGCGGGATGTATCGGTAGGAAGCAAGGACTCCGGTGCTTCGTTAAACGAACCCGTCAGCTTTTGTCGCGTACTTCGTAATACTTTACTTTCTTTCTTTTTTAATGATGTTTGAAATTGCACGATATCGAGCGTCGACTCGTCGAGTTAAAACCTAGAGAACATCAGAGAGAAAGCGGTTAAATGTATAGATGATTTTTTTCTCTTATTTTTACAACAAATACAAATCAGATCCATGTATGATTACCGTCATTAAATAGAGATTTTCCGAATTCTAATATTTTGATATTATTACAGATTTTATTAATTTTACAGATTTTTTATTATAGATTTTTTACAGGTTAATCACGTTGAATTAAAGATTTGCTTGTTTGGCTCTTGCTTACTTTCGTTCTGCGTTCATTTGGAGCTACTTCATTATCCCTTCTTGTTATCAGGAAATGCCTGCTTGATTATTTGGTTACTATGCTTTCTGTGATAATTGGCAATTATTCCATGTTGACTTGTTAAACATGCACGG